AGGAAAAACAAAACAGCAATCAATACTGTGTGTGTGTGTATATATATATATATATATATATATATATGTATCATATTTCAGTGTCACGACTCCTGGCCTTTATACACAATTGAAAAGAACATTGTTTTTCATTAACATCACAAGCATCAAAACATGACATAATTATGTTTAACTAACACCATCAAGTTCCAAATTTCCAATAAATACAAAATACTTAATTGTATGTGAAAGGGGCTCATCTATGAATAAAATGTTTTGCTTGACAAATGAAAGCAAGCATTCAATTGTTTATCATAATAAAAACAAACATTAGGCTATGTGTTACTAGATTCCTGAAACTGAAACTCTCTAGGCCCCCAAAACAAAAGTAAAAATAACAGTTCCTGAAAAGTATTTTAAAGTTGGGGCCGACATATTGTCATTATACAAGTATTTTAAAGTTTTGCTATTCTCAAAATAAAATGATTAACAAGGCATTAAAATATTTGGGATGAAGGGCTAGAATGAGGAGAAATATGCATAATAATTTGGTAAAAACTGTAAATATAGTTCAAGATAAAAGATTACAGATTCATATAAAAGTGTAAATTAAAGCCCATCTTGACCTGATTTAAAAGTCATAAGACAAATGGCAAAGTATGTTATTAATAATTCTTCTAAAACCAACAAAAGTAACATCAAAGCAATGCATTGTTTCTTCAATAAATAAGAAAACTAGCAACAACGTTGATTAAATGGTGCAATGCAGTACCAAGTAGTTAGACAAGGTCATTAAAATAAAGCGACAGGGCAAACATATGTGACAAATCATTAGCAACATAATACAGAACAAATGAGGTTTCCTGTGGTCTAACACAAACATATCTTGTGTGCAGTTATGTCCAAACACAGGCCTGAAACCTCAGTATAGAGTGAAAGAAATGCAAGGAAAATCAGGGTGTGGCTATTAAACAATAGCAAGGTCATTCATGACAGTGGTGCAGTTCATTAAAACCATGTCACAAATGTATACACAGGTGATCAACCATGCTTGACAAGGTAAACAATCACAAAATATATGAAAAGGGTAAAAAATAAAGTAAAAGGTCATACCTTGATGCATTGCTTTGAGTCGATCGCTCATCCTCTTGTTTTTTACTTTTAGTCTTCATCATAGTAGTATCCTGAAAGTCTTTGAAAGGTATTTTGTCCTGGTATTTACTGTCAAAAAGTTAGAGGAAGCATGAGCTATCATGCAAGTCCCACAAGATTGCCTTTGCTCGGGTGGTAGTTAAAACCCAGGCGACGCGACACGAGTTGAGAAAAAGGGCATTAAATCGAAAGGAAGTATCATTATATACATCGCTTCATTAAAATATATCCAAGGAAAAATTGACAGGTGTTTCTAGAATATGATAAATATCCAACGTATTTCGTTCAGTAAAGTCCACGGAACAAGCCGCATGCAATTAATTGCAACTGCGTCATCACATGAAAGGATATAAAAATAAGATTTAAGGATGAGAAAATCAGTCAATTATGCACTTCACAATGTAAACAGACCAATTCAATGTGAAGAAAGGTAGTAACCTATAAATTAACTATTAGGTCGACGTTCGCTCTATCAAAAGCAATTATCCGATTCGAATACGAATACAAACTATAAAAATAATAACTTAACAATAAATTGCAAAAAAGAGCATTGTTTTGGAAAGCTTTAAGGCCTTTAAAGTGTGCATCTGCTGTCAGAGTCAGAGCGACAGAAGCGAGCAGCTCACTAAAAATGGAGGAGCGCCATGGCTGCCAGAGCCCAGTGTGGAAAACAACGACAAGCACTCCCTCTGCACAAACGTCTCGTACGACTCGAAAAAACAGCCCGAAAACGACTCAAAACGTCTCAATTCCCGTTAAAACACCGATCGTACTAACATTGCGCTTAATATAAACCATAATCAGACAGTTTCGGTCGAAAAACGAGTAAGAGAAACGGTCAGACGAAAGCCCATGGCACCCTTCCCAAGGCTCAGCCGCCATCTAGAGCTCCTTCCTAGCTCTGAACGCAATGCCTTTGATTGACGTTATTTCCATTTACCCCACACTCAGGTGATGTGAAGTCCCACCCCTTTTATTATGTTTAAATGTTGTTTTATATAAACTTATATTTACTTTCAGCCCCAGACTTGAAGTTGAGACCTTTACTCCTCACTTCATGAAATAGTAAGAATACTAAGAGGCTTTAAAAAGTATATAATTATTGTTGCACCAATTGCATCACTTCCTGCACAGACAGGAAGAAGAACAACCAGAAGCCATTTTAGAATGCCTTTGGAAACCATTTCTACTCAGACCAAAACCTTTTTTAGTTGCATTGTACCTTACAAAAAGTATGTATTCTTCGATTGTTTTAATTGAGTTAAGATTATACAGTGGGGCTGGCTTAATTTTCTACCACTTTCACTAACAAACCAAGTGATGATTTGTTTGTAGAATAACACCTGAAAAATAAAGTAGATTCATCAACCTAGTACGAAGTTTAACCGTGAGCGTGTATGCTAACTTAAAAGTTAGCAAACGTGCTGAGCAGTGGCACAAAGTCAGTGCTAACCAAGTGTTTTTGTTGTACAGATTACTTGTAAATATTAGAACCAACAGCCGAGCTAATGTAATTCGACGTTATAAAAATGTAACGCCAAATTAGTTTGTAACTTTCCGGTTACTAAGCTAATGAAACAAAGCCAGGAAAATTACGAGGACATAAACTTTATTTCAAAACAACATTTGAAAAACAAATGTACAAAGGCTATTTTCCCCAAAACAACAATGTAATTATTTAAGTCCGCTATACAGCCAGCACGTCTTCCAGTGTCCATGTTGTCATAAAAAATAAAAAATATCCAATCGAAAAATCCCAGTCAAAAAGGCTTCATCTTGGCAAAATGTGGCTAACTGTCAAACCAGTTTGCCATCTTCGCGTCAAACAACGCTGTCTCCACTTCACCACTATCCAGTTGAATGGCGTCTTGATAGGATAAAAAAAAGAAGGAAAAATTGTAAGCCCACAGTGCAACTGAAATGAGTTATGTTCACTGTCCAGCAGTCCAGAGAATTCATGCTAGGCTACACTAAAGTAGGCTAGTTTAATAAAATACATGGCTAGCTTTAGTTGCATTAGCTAGCTTTAGTTGCGTTAGCTAGCATTGCACGAGTGAACGTATTATGCTGAAGTATTACTCTGTGTACACAGTATATCAAAAAAGGTAATCTAAATTGCGATCAAAAGTCATACCGAAAGCAACATTAACTAAACATTTGGATGCATTTGTAATCCAAGGTTATCATTTTTCAATTTTGGATCAAGTGTTGATGCATTCAATTCCAATAAAACGCAAGTTTTTTTAATTAAAAAATAAATACATAATAATAATGTAATAAATAAACATTTTGGCATTATTTCGTACATAGGGTTTCTAAGAACAAAATGATACGCTGAGACATGCAGCCTGCTATATCAATAATGTAAGATCTTTCAAATAGTTGTTAGGCTGCAAATTGATATATTGTTTGGTATATTCCAAGTTAAATGAAGTCCAAGTTAAGTTAATGCAACGACAATTTGCAAATAAATTCATCAACTGGCCACAAGAGAAATTATGTGTCAAGAGCTAGCCAAATTCACAAAATGTGTTAAAGCGACACTGATGATCAAACAGACTGCGATCAAAACAAGAAAACAATGGCGTGTGAGTAAACAATGCTGTATGCAAAGTGAGATCTATTTCCTGAATTCACAGAATGTTTACCTAATTAATCAAAGCAAACACATTATCAAGCAACAGTTGGACACAATAGTAGCATCCAAAACCTATTAAAGCAACCCTTCATTCAATATTAATATATATTTAATTTGATAAAAAAGGCAGTAAAACATAGTTGTCACATGGTATTGGCCATCATGTATTTTTTTTACCTTTTAAGGCCAAATAACCATCAGAGATTTTAGCAAAGATGGATCATATAGAAACTCTTGGGCGAAATTTGGCTTTGAGGTACAAACAACAGTAAACAGAGCAAATGTCCACATAAAAGCGACATTAAAAAAAGAGCTTGTGTCATCAAAAGTTGCCCCATGACCACTTGTTACAGCTGTATTACCATTAAGTAAGTTTGGAAAAAATCACCCTTAGTTTTTTTTTAACTATACTTGCCAACATCTAGGTCTTTTAGTAGCCATACGTAACTTCTGCTTGAAATGTGAGTGGCTATCCTCAACATATCCAAATAAGATATAGGTAATACAGCATACAGTAATCCCTATAAAGTAAAAATGTTCTAATCATTGCATTTAAGGGATCATTCAGCATGTGGGTAAATATACTCATGTCTACTTAGCAAACTTACCGAGCCGTCTTCTTTTTCATCATAATTTGAAAATCTTCACGCCCATCTCATTCTTCCGCTGTGGAAAAGGTAAAAAACAATGAATTATACCTACGTCAACATAAATCACATTCATACAGATTTAGTAAAAAGAGTATGTAACTAACTGTTCATTAGTGGAATACGACCAATAATACAAAATTAAGCTAAGATTGATTTTTCATTGACAACATTTTTTTGTGTCTACAGTACTAATTATAGCTTATCCTTAAGTCTTTAAAAGAATTTCGTCAAATCAGACTGATTTGTATGGTTATTTTTATACAACAAAAAAAGCAATTGCTGCAGGACAAGATCAGTACAGCCCTCAACATGTATAACTAATGCATATGCAGACGTCAACAACCATACTTCCCTCTGGGGGTTGACAGTTCTTGTGCGGTGCGCTTATGTTCTACAAGGAACATTTATTTTGTGTTAACATTATTTTAGTGGAATTTCCTGCCTTGAACTTTTTGTTGTAAGGACGCCCGACACAATGCTATTAATTTTGATAGCTCCACTGATGTCGTTCGATTTTTCCTTGGTTTTTCTTTCTTTTTTCAGTTCAATTGCATAATTTCATGAGACAGAAAACGTGTTGCTTTGAGCAATAAAATAGAACACATCTGATTTTGAGCATCCATGTTGTTTCAACATTATCAAGAGCATAAACAAACCAGAGTTGGAAGAACATCTTCCAAACTCAAACAAAATGTGGAACACATGAAGCAAATGACGCACCAATGAATGATGCTGTACCAAAAGTGTGCATGGCCAGTCTCTTTCACACCACAGAAATTAAAGCGCGATTCGAAGAGTATTTTAGAATGGCAAACCCATGAAATACATTCTTGTCTGGGACCCACAGTTAGTGCCATAAAATGGCAGTGTTTTCTAAATGAGTGATATTAATGTGTGATGATCATCAATTTTTATGATATTGGACATATGAAAAAAAAAAGATAGTAAGTGCCTCACGGATGCTAGCTCGTTTAAGGAACATGGTGAATATATAACGAATCCGAATGTTAATTTCAGGTAACTGAAAATGTATCCCAGAACAAGTTGTTATCGTATGCGTGGTCTACTGCGCTCGTGTCGATTTTCACACTGTTCATTGGAACTACAAATGAGGATCGCACATTTTGGGCTCCATTATTTTAGTCCTCGCGGACATGGTGAATTACGTAATTAGCATCGCAGGGACCATAACCGACGCAGAAAGTATGAATTGGCCTTTTTATAACTTAAGCATATTTTTTTGTTGGCATGTCTTCACCGCATTATACACTAGGTGGCAGAACCTGTCCTATGCATTGTATTCAGTCAAATGAATCGCTATAATGCACAGAACATAAAAGAAAGAGCATAAAATTGTATTTCCAAATAATGACTTGCACACACAAAGACATTGATCACACCTATGTTTATCTGGTTATGTTTCAGTGATCAGTAAAACAGATTTCTACTTGACTTGACACTAGTTCAATGCACAGATAACATGCACATAATTTATTGTTCCTTAAAAATTATACTTACAAAAACTTCTTGCAGTTCAAATCGCCGGAATGCTTCAATTCTCGACTCCATGGTGTCTAAATGTCAACCCTTTGAAATAGAAAAATAAATGCTTAGAGGAAATGTGACAACAGCACACCCTACTGGCTACATGTATGTAGCAGTAAAAACAACGTAGCTAGCCTGAAAACAATTCAAAAAACATACCATTTAGCTTGGGTCAGATGATTTATTTTCTTCGTTGACGCAATTTGTGAAACCTCAAGAGAATTCCTGCAACAACAAAAAAAACATAGTTATGATCATTTTTGTAATCACAATTAACAAAATAGCAACTAACATTGGCATAGAACATTGGAAGATAATAGGCTATCGGTGTTAAAATATTTTTAAGTACATTTTCTGAGCAGGTTTCAGTGCTCATTAACATATTAAGAAATCATAAATAACCAGTAGCATACTTAGTCCAAATATTTTTTACATCTCTTTGTCTTGGTGGCTCAAAATGGAAGTAAATGAGTCTTCTACAGTGCCATCCTATTGAGAATATCTTTGAAAATACATTTTATTATGTGCATGGCGGTACTAATCCCTTGGATTTAACAATAGAGTTTCAGACGCAAATATTTATCGTAAAAGAGTGTACGTATAATTGTATTATGTGTAGATGTGGCCTTCATGTGTGGATAAATCCACAACCTTGTCCTTGAGACCGTGATATTGAGATTCATGTATTTATTTATTTAATCTTAATGCAGTATTTTGATATCCCTCCAATTCAAATACTTATTGTTGAGAGGTTTTCTAAAAGTATAGTCTGTATTTACATGGCTTGCAGGTGTAAAGTGAGTGGCAAACTAAATGAATGTACATATTTAAATGACTTCTCCTTCCAGTGCCTGAAAGGGTTAAAAGCCAACACCCTATTTTGTATTACGAAGTACATCTATGCTTTTATCAAATACAGAACCTTTATTTGGCAAACACATCTAATATCGTTGATGTATAGTGTCTACAATGGAATAATTCTTAGCATTTGTCATATTTACAGTATTTAGACAACTTGTTACAATTTATTTGAACTATTATGAATTATTAAGTATCAAGCATCTATGATTAAGTTTAACTTAGTCAAACAATACATGTTTGCACTGTAATGAGAAAATGTTTAAAACTATCCATTTTTTTAACATTTGTATCATTACAATTCAGTGAAAAACTTCAAAAAGCTAGTAAACTGAAAATAAACAAAAAGAATCTTCAGCTTGTTGTGTTGATGTCCATCGTTCGCAATACAACATTCAAAAGACGAAACATTTGCTTATATTTCATGTTTTTGTCGAGTAAATTGAGACAAGGGCATTTGCCCCTTCAAGGACAAAGCCATTTTAAATGCGTAGGTTGAAATAACTGCTAATAAGTCGAGGACAAATGTTCTTATCGAAATATGAACTAAGTTTACTCGAAACAAAGCTAGCAAACGTGCAAAATCCATCAACTAAAATACAATTGCATGCAGTTTAGAGCCTTTACAGCGTTTTCAGTGTTCTTAGCTGACACACCATGGCCATTTTTACAAGACTGCGCCTAACTGTCGTTCTGTCCACCATATTGCCTGACACCAGATTCGTACTTTACAGCTATAAAATGTCTGATTACTCGTAAGTTCTTACCCATTTCCAAGTCCGGGTGTAGCCGTCGTCATCTACCCCGGCCGGTGGCACATTTTGGGGCGATTTTCGCGGTTTTGGTGGGTGTTTCGGCCGCATCGTCCTGTCCGATCTCGACGCCTCTCTGCTCTGATGTGTGTCCTCCTCTCCGCCTCTGCCTGATATTCTTCAGCGGCTCAGCCCACTTTGCTCTCAACGTAAGCCAAACTCCACTTCCTCTCCAGCCCCAGCTAGCTCTACATTAGCAGCCTACTGAGCCTAAAATCCGCCCAAACTCTTCTTGGATGAGCACAAAACAACTGCAATACATTTTAAAGGTTTTAGTCGGAACAAAGCAAGTTGTCTTTACAAAACTATTACACGTTGTTGTTGTTTTCTCATTGCAATGTACGCAGCCAATCAAATCAAGCTAAATGTGACGTTAGTAAACAGCTAACCTGATATGAAATTAACCAATTTTAAACCTCTATTTTTAGATAGGCCTACACTGACACTTTTGTGTCATAGTAACTAACCTGGTACATATTGGACCCTACTGAAAATATGAATATAGGCTACGTGTTTGTTAAGGGCATTGGTAAAACACATTTTCTCTTGGCACTGGTCCAGTGTGCCTTCTTTCAGACTTCCCTCTCATCATCCATATAGTGGGCCTAAACGTTTTCCTTAAAACACAGATAGAAACAGGGCTAAGTATATTTGCTGTGTTGTAGTAAACTCTGTGTATTGCTGTATTGTATACATCTATAGCATTATATGACATTATTGTAACGAAAAACTGATGTAGGCTATGTGTAGAGCTGTGATAAACAAAGTAGGTTATGTTGATTCCCTGGTTTGTTGTTCATTGATATTCAAGATTCATAGTTTTATTGTCATTCGTGCATAGCTACAGTGTAGTGCCATAAGAGTCTATACAAGTGATACATAATTTGTAAGTTGCAAACAGGTGAATGTTATGGATAGTGATAGGCTAACTAATAGCCACCTTTCCAGTAAAGAACAAGTGATTGAGGCCATAAACTAAACTATTTTGGATAAGGTATGTATATTTATTGTGTATTCTTTGTTTTTAAGGCTTGGATATACATGGTCCTAACTCTACAAACACTTTTTCTGCCTGCCATGCCTGTGATAAAATCAAAGAGTTTGAACATGTTTATTTTTACTGAAAAAGTTTGAACCAAGTCTAATGGGGACGCCACATTTAGCAAACTTAGGCTGTGCAGTCAGTGCAGTGCTTTCTTGGAAAGTCTATGAGGCCTGTGGTATGCAACACTCCACCCCCATCACCGACCAATGAGATGTATGACACCACAGCGCATGCTCTGTTCAGTGGAAGATTTCTTTAAAAAGATCCTCAGCCTAGCAACAGGAGTGCCCTGCAAGTGCAATAGAAATCCAGACGTTTCAAGTGAAGTGGACACAACCTTATTTGACTGACTGGTTAGACTGGTTTGAATAGGGATGTGCTTACCAACCATATGTGTTGGGATCCCAAAATAGTCTAAGAAGTGTCTTCATATTTGCAAGTCACCTGGAATTTTGCAATTTAAGACTTTGCATAGATTATTTGACATGCTGTCTCTTGGCACTATCGTTGCAACAGAAATATTGGATATCCCCCTCTTGCAAGCACCAATGTGGGTTTTGTTAAGGCAGGTTGTTACTATTAGTGGTCAGAGTTGTAAGAAGTGTTCATGTAATTTGCTGTATTAATGTGTATGTTGCATTTTAGTGCTGTATGTTTAAAGTTGTAATTATTATCGTGACGGTTTCTTGACTGGCTGATCTGATCCAGTAAGGTTTAAAAACAAAAACAGTTTACTTAGATTAAGACGTTGGTCAATTTAATCAATAAATACAAATCTGATTTATTAAATCTTAATTTTTTATTTTATGCAAAAATATTCATTATTAAAGTTACTTGTAACCAAAACTGTCAAGTAAAGTGTAGACAAGTAAAAAGAACATAATATTTGCTTCCAAAATGAGCACAGAAGAATTATAAAGTGGCATAAAACTGAAATACACAAGTAAAGTGCATCTGTCTTGAGTTTTGTAAATGTTGCATGAAAGAAGAGAAGAAAGGTAGATAAACTCATTTTCAACTGAACTGGATAGTTGAGATCTGCTGTGTTCAATACGATATAAGTACTTTACTAGTCGCTCTAAACAAATTGATGTAACATACAGGTTGCCATTTTATATAATAGTACAGGCTGTAACTAGTAGTCAGCAAAAGTAACATTTATATAGGCTACACTTTTATAATCAATGATACCAATTACTTTGACACATACACTTTGGACATTTCTTTGTCAGATTTTGATGTGGTAATGACACCATTTGTGTTGTAAAAAGTATACAACACTGTTGCAGAGGGATGTGCCTTAGCACGAAAACAGGCAGCGTTGCATTCAAAGGTGTATATTACGGGGTAAAAAAATATAGGCTACACCCAACTTATAAATGATGTTACAATGTGACATTGCAAATAACCTCTTACACTAGCTGCAGGATCAGGGAGGCTATGTTCTTATGTTTGCTTTTTAATTAGCAAGACAAATAATACTGGTGTGGTCATGTCCTTTAACAAACAATAGAGATGGAAGGTAAAGCATGTCAATAGAGTTTGGAGAGACAAGAGTAACACGTTTTAAAATCAAAGTTCACAACTGTATTTTACAATTCTTTTTCTAAATGGGTTAAATATTGTTTGAACTGAAAGGTGAAAATGCAAATTGTGTTGTAATCCTCTGCAAGCAATGTAACCTGATCCCCTGTTTCTCTGTGCAAAGTTCAGCCTGTCCTCTCAGATGGGAGAACAACAACCCCCCTTTAGCTTAAGATTTGTATCTTCTTAGGACACATAAGCAATACCTCTCCATGCAAAATCAACATATAGCCATGCACACACACAATATAGTTGTGTGTACATGTTTGTGTACAGTATGTTCCTGACTTATTTTCTGGCTTCAGATCCTAAGGCCTACTGCTCTAACCAATCAGCACTGAGTTGAGACCTGTGCATTGAAGGAAAATGCTGGCTCAGATTGTTACTTTGTGCTGCCATCTGGTGGGCTTTGGTCAAATTAAAAAGCTCACATGCAGGAGCCCAGTAGAAGGCCAGTACTCAGGTGTACATAAATAGGACCAGGCATCAATTAAAGCCAACAAAACCAAACAAGCTGTATTTTGTCTTCAGATAAAAGGAGCCCCAACTGATTTGCACACAGGAAGAAATGCTGTATGATGTGTTTCTGAAGTTATATACTGTAAACTGCAAGTCCCCTACCAACTAGCCATCAAAGGGATTATTAAATCTAAGTGTTGGTCTAATTATCCATTAGGAATATGCAAATTAAAACCCAAATGCATGAACATTTTAATTACGTTAAATTATAGGTTGTGTCTCTGTGTCTGATTAAGTCTGACAAAGATTGATTTAGTATTAGTGTCATGCTTCTAGATTTGGTGAGGGATTACAGTTGTCAATGATCAATTGACAGTTTATCACTCTGTCTTGTCTGGTCAAGATTTACCCTGGAATGTGCGGTCGTGACCCTGGAGGCTGCTGCCCTTGGAAATACGTGTTTTCCAAGGCCCACCCATGGATCATTAAAAAAAGAAGAAAAAAGGTAAACAGAGAAATGCTGCCTTCAAATGCTGTTGGAAAAGTGAGCAGTGAAGAGGTAAGAGATGATCTGACACAGAAGTCTAGAAAATGGAATGTGCTGGGGCTCACTGTGTCTAAAAATTAATGTAAATCTAGACTAAGTAATGTGCACAATTGTACACACACACACACACACACACACACACACACACACACACACACACACACACACACACACACACACGCGCTATACATGATGCGTTTTTAAAAGCTTACGGGATACGTTTGTACTGTTGATCATTGATATTCAAATTCATTGTGTTGCATTGTCTTCCAGTTACATTTGCATTCAGATAACTATATAGGTTGATGTTGCTCTTTCAAAATATGTACTGGTACTTAACAAAAAATATGTAGGCTGAACATGAAGGAAATAAATATATGCTTTGGGAGTGACCTCAGTTTTATTTGAAATCCTGTTTACAGGCCATCATACTATAATATTAAACACAAGGCCTTCCTGTATAAAAGTATAATAAACGACCTTCTCAACTACATGCACCAAACCTAACATTCAATAGTGGGGAATGTCTAAAAGTTAGCCCACTGTTTCCCAACCTGTCCATATATCAAAAATATATGAGATATAGGGCTAACATAAACGTTTAGTGTTTTTTTCTGTTTCGATAGGTGCAGTGGTGAAAGTACCTATACTCAAGTATTAATAATAATACATGTTATTTATAAAGCGCTTTTCCTGGTGTTCAAAGCAATTCAATTCAGTATTGCACCTATGTCCAATTTTGAGGTACTTGAACTTAACTTCAGCATTTCAATTTTATGCAGTTTTTTCTCCATCACATTTGGGCTGGCATATTGTACTTTTCACTCATTATTTATATGACAAAAGTCGTTACTTTGCAGATTCTACGTATTATAACAAAATATAAATCAACGCATTATTTGTGATATGCTGGATTAATTTCCATTAAAACATGAAAAAAAACCATTAGCCCTAGCTTTACCATCTGCACCATCAATGATATTTAAACATACATTTATCAACAATTATATTCAAGCAATATCTAAAGTCAAAGATGAATCTTGATTGGGCCAAATTTGACCCCGAGTCACCCACAACAATTCTGCCGGGTCTACCCAGACCCGAACACCAAATTATACACTTTTAGACTTGGCTAAAATGGTCAAAATCAGTTTTGTAGTGTTTATATAGCTGACGCTGTTTATGGAGGATATCATGAAGCCTTGTTCCGATAAAAAAAACTAGAGCGTAGTTATTATATATTTTTTACTTGAAACAGGTCACGGGAGACACCCGAACACAAGATTTTGCATTACATTAAGGACTTTTACTTGTAATTTAGTATTTCAGTAATGCGGTATTGCTTCTTCTAGGCTTATTTTGGATTTATGTAAAATATTTGATTACTACTAGATATATGTCTTGTTAATTTGATGGTAGATGTATTTAAATGAGTAATCAAACATAAGCCACCTAAACAACTTGTCGACTGCAGCTGCCAAACTAAGTCTTGTTGACAGCAGATCTGTGAGTGTTAGGAAGTCCGAGGCTGCCCTGAATGCATCACGAATCCACAAAATAGTTCCTCTTCAGCACCTTCAGCACCGGGAGCAGAGGGCCAGCCTGCAGAGCTCTTCCGGAGGCGGATAATCCCCATCTCTACACTTCTAATGCAATCAGGAAGGAATAACTATAACTCACCTCAAAGGAAACACGGTTTTGGAAGTTAATACGGGTTAAGACCTACATTTCCAGCATTAGGAAAAGCTTGGACGAGGAAGGAGATGGATATTTGCGTTACGCATTATTGTGTAAATAGCCACATCTGACAGAGATAAGCCAATCCTCCTATAATGTGACAGCTGCTGTCGCATTTCATCTAGTTGGGAGAAACTACAAAAATAAATTCCTTCTTACATTTTATTTTTATCTCAACACAATGGTGAATTACAATCTCGGTTTGTCTTTAATTATCGCGGCTATTTGGCGGGTCAGTGGCGTACCACTAAATCCTTATTCACCGGCGACGCTGTTCAACTCAACATCATCTTCCACCATCAGCGAACATCAAATGACACATAACGTCACAGACACCGCCGTGGGATCCCGGATTTCATCTATAATGACGCATCTTCCCACTCTGAAAAACATTGTTATTTTCATCTGCGTGCTAACAGCTGTTCTCATCACATGCTTGGTCATCAAAGTGATCAGGTAAGCTGCAAGCAGGCTGATGCAACTGTATCTGTTTACGGTATAAGGTCTTTAATAAGAAGCCTTACAGGGATGCAGTCAAAGAAATGTATGGTATAAATGTCGCTCTTTGTGCTGTTCCTTGTAAATGAATCGATTAGGAGCATGTGGTTGTGTCTGGGCCTATGTATAATGTTCCTACAGGCAGTCTAGTGTAGAGGAGCCACTTAGATAGGCATCCCGGTGTGCTTTATGTAAGATATTTTCTGTCCTTATTTATCTTTGACCTATGTGAAGAATATGTCATTGTTAGTTCTAACATCACAGTCATCTTTACATTCGTCACGTGTATTTGTGTTTAGGTTGTCTAATCAAATTTCATACTAGGGTTGCAATTAATGATTATTTTTAGATGAATCTGGTCATTGTTTTATCAATTACTCAATAGTTATTTTAGTCTATGGAATATTGGGGGAGAGTAAAAACAAAAAAGCCAGAGCCCAATGTGTTGTCTTGAAATGACTTTACAAATATATAAAACATGACAAAACAGTAAATCTGAAAAGGTGTAAATCAAGAATATTCAGCATTTAGATGTATTAATCAATTATCATATTGGTAGCGATAAATTGAATTGATTGAAATATATGTCAACTGAATAATTGTATCAGCACTTTCCCATCCGAGCCAAACATTATTATGATTGTGAGAACTAAGCATGTTATCACTTTAAACGTCACAATTTGGGAAAATTATAAATTTGCTTTACAGCTGACGTGTAGTCAGTCAGCCTAAATTAGGACATTTTGAAAACTTGTGCTTGACTCATGTTTGCCAATGTTTTCTTCCCAACAGATCTGGGAGAAGAATCAGAAAAACAAGAAAATATGACATTATAACGACCCCCGCTGAACGTGTGGAGATGGCCCCTCTAAATGAGGAGAATGATGATGACGACGACTCAACCCTCTTTGATGTCAAATACAGGTTTGTTCTTTTACAATTCTAAATACTCCTTTGAAGAAACTCCCCGATTGACCATTGCAGGCCTAGTCCTATATATTCTTCATAATTGATGTTATGTCTTGTATATATTTATATACTACACTGTAGTTGCATGTATGATATGACATTAAACCTTTTGAATCTTGAATCTACAGGTATATCAGATAAGTTAGGTGTATGGTTCCCTGTGGATAGAGAGGAGATATTAACCTCTGTAGAGTGTGGGCATATCATGCTAAGCCCATAATTCACACTCTGGCCCTTTATTTCTACCGAAATGTATCTGTACAGAATATGTCTCTCAAGTCAAAGTGTTTCTTTGTAAGGGTTGGACTATATCAAACCTATTAAAGTTAAAAGATTAGTGTAAAAACTGAACAGTAAAGTACTTTTGTACAATTTAATTGCCTGCTTTTGCTCATCTTAGTTTTACTGAATGCCTCTTTTGTTATCTCAGTTGTACTATTCTAGCCATGACATGTTTTAAAGTTGATTTCCCTATGTAAAGCTCTCCGCCAATCTCTTTTGATTAATAAAAGCTGCTTGGTGGCACCACCTTTTTAGCAAAGTGAGTAAGCATATGCTACTAAAACAGATATAGGAGTGTCTCACAGCTTTTTTTGGACTTTTATAATGCTCACAAACATTTGAGGTAAAGGATTGTTATTAAAAACCACACTGATAGTATGGGAATCTCAAAAGTATGCATTAAATGTGTACTTCCTGCTTGCTTCTCTTGAAGAAACACTATTTTGAAAAACTATTGTTTTAGTTAATCTAATGTTGATATAAGGTTTCACCCTTTCCGTTCTTTCCATTGTTCTTTAACACACAAACACTTCCTGAAAGGGAGATGTGACATCCTGTTTACCTGACATTCCTGAATTCCTAGTCAGACTGGAAACAGCAGGCTAAATTATTTCCACGTAATCATATGTACTGAAAACTGATTAAAATATGTAAGGTAACAGAGTTATTTTTTTTTTCAGGTGAATGCCGGCATGGACATCAACATTGGATAACTCCTGTTTTGCCTGGAACAACTCAAGTGATTTTCTGTATGTTTGTGCTTTTCAAGTCTTATCAAATCAGCAACTTCATATGCTGCTGGTGCATGGCTTTTATCTGTGTTAAAGGACTGGAGCCGCATGGATATCATAGTTTGCTGCTTCACTGACGCTTCTATCATGTGGCACAAATAACCTGCACAATACTTTTTGATATTAGAGATCAGAGTGCTTCATTTTGTGACTTTTTCTCAACAGTCATTTAATAATCGTCTTTATAAAAACGTGGAAATTACCTGGAAAAAACATTTTAAAGTCATTTCATTTTGACACTTGAGCTACATTGTATTGGTCTGAGGAGTTTAGGACCCAACGTCTGCTTTGAAAATATAATCCTCCCATATTATAACCATCAGATGATGCATACAATGTTAACAACAAATAATGTGCAGAGAATACTTTATTCAAACATTTGCACACTAGGAAGAATCTATTGATATTCTGTAATGGATATTTTTAACTAAACTTTCATACCAAATATATTTCTATCTACTAACCACTTAATTGTGCATATACTGTGGACGGCGGTCTGTCCTTATGTATGGAGTAAGCGTATATTTTTTTACCATGTGTTGTCCTGTTTTGCTGCTATCTTAGCTGAAGTTTTGCGTATTTTAAGATGTTGAAAATTGATAAGAAATCTCAAATAATATAGTCAGGGTATTTTGTAAGGTGTTAATGGAAAACATCCATTTGCTATGAATGTGATGGAGTAATCTGTTATGTCATTGGGTATGTTCAGTCACGTGACGTAATTCAATTTAGCAACCACTGAACAATCCCAACAGGTTTAAAACAACACAGAGATGTAGTAACAGTATTTACATGCACCCAGTGTCTTATTTTCTAAACCAAAACAATGTTATTTCAATTTAAAAGTATCCCCAGAATCTGGTATCCGTTTAAAATAGTAGGCGAGGCGCTAGTAAAGTATAATGGAAAGTCTCCCTCAAGAATGGCAATTAATGGCTCACTGACTCTTGTAATGTGTAACCTGAAAAGCACTCAGTCTTTTCCCCCTTAAGAGTACATTCCCTGTGCCAAATGGACTCTGGTAGAAACAGTTTCTTCAACTGGCTTTGAGAAAGAGTGTTGAGGACATTTTTTGACCTTTTAACATTGATTTGATTGATAAGTATTAAATTACTATAAAAAATGAAAACATTGAAGTTGTTATATCTTTATTTCAAATACCAAATACACAATAATCAACCAAGAATCTCGTATAAAGGGCAGAAAATAAATAGCCGTCATGTTCACAAACTGGTCTGTGTTTGTGCCCTAAATGTAATTACAGCAACTACGTAGCAGAGTGCACCTAGATTAGGTTTCTGCAGTGAGTGTGGGTGTTGTAGGTGACCTTCTGTTTTTAATCCAAACTGTTATTTGAAAGTGCAAAATGGAATACGGCTGCAGCTGCTTCTGAATGACCTCCAACCATAGTTAACAAAAAAACTGCAATGCCCGACTCGTACTGCATTTTTCTTTCCGGGAGAAAGAACGTTTTGTATTTTGTATTTTGATTTCCTTGTTGACATTTACAGAAGACTGGATAGAAGTGATATGGCGTGTGTGTGAATGTATGATTCGGTTTTTGAAAGTGATTCAAACTTTCGATCATGTGATTTATATCATGTCCTTTAGCAGAATGGTGGCTATTTCCGGTGGTTTCCATCAGATTATATGACCACAGTTATTTTCGATATTGTTTCATGTATGTTTTTTTATTGTATGTGGAGTAAACTGCAGATCCATTAGTGTGTCTCAGGGGACTATCACCCTTGAACAGTTATCCTCCTCCATCTTGTCACCTTCTATTATTTTATCTTTAGTTGTGCGTGTAATTGTGGAAAAACCCTGCTCGTCTGAAGATGCTATTTCTGTACTTTTATTAGAACTGAATTATCTGCTACAGACAGTTCCTGTTGTAAAATGAGTTAACGTCACTGTGGTAGTTATCTGAAGACTGTATCTAATTGCTCTAATCCCACATTTAAACCAAAACAAGTTAAATGTTCAAACTGTTTTGGAAGTTTATTGAATTCAAGTCCCTGTTTGGTTTTTGACACAGATATTATGTGTACCCACAGCTGTATCCTTGGTTTCCATTTCTTTGAAACACTACTGAAATAAAACTGCTTCCTTTGAAGTGTTAAATCGTTTTAAGTGTTATTTCTTTCCATTCTGATCTTCTGTGTGTTTTCTGACACAGAAAAGTACATTCACTTTGTCATAACATCATTCAAGTTTTCTCAAGTCATACTGAATAGTTTAAGTATTAAAAATATAGTCAAGTGGTATGCATCAAGACAAAACATGCAAAAGTTAATATTTTGTTGCTGGAATTTGTACATTGAACAAATACTAATATATGGTAAAGCTACATGACTAAAGTTAAGCTACAAGATACAACTATAAAGAAGAATCCCCTCAAGTAGAACGTTTTCTATCTGTGGCAAAGTCCAGATTCTGGGATAATTAACCTAATTGTGTTGGTCACAGAATGTTTCTATTTGTGTTGATCTCAGACCAGCCTTCACAAACAGGTATTTCATTGCCTCACATCGCTAGTACAACTTTCGTTTAACTTTACTCGTCAAAACAACTCGTTTAACTTTAATCCTGTCAAAACAACACTATTACAGACAGATCACATGGCTGGCAGCGCATGACCTGCTGCTTGTGTAGAGCTTGTGGAATCATTTGAATACTTCTGTCAATTTGTATTAAAAGAGGCAATTTGTTGCAGAAAATAATCCCAAAGTGTGTGGCAAAAAGCCCAGTATAAAGACAAAAGGTGGAGCTTTAAATTACAAAAATATAACCCTAACTAGCATTCAACTTATTGACTGACAAATGAGTCTGGTATTGTTCTTAAAATAAACAAAGAATGGCATTTCTTACCTGATCACAACTACTGAACAAGTCTACAATCAAATTAACTTTCTTTGTTTATTTTTGTCAATCGTAGCTGGGTTTCAGTGGTGAGTAACGCTATTAAAAGTAATGTACGTTTGTTTTTTACATCTATCTTATCATGTCAAAAATAAGTTAGATAAACCCTGAACATTTTAATTCTTCAATTTTAAAATCATCCAATTAATTGATTATAGGCACTAAATACTGGCAATCCTAAAATCCACAAATATCTGTATCAATCTATAATGGTTGAGATACTAGCCCTAAACACACAATACATGTATAATTCATACATTATTATAAAAATAATGAAGGCATACAAGTTATCAACTCCTTCTCTCAGTGCACTGGAACTTCTGCTAACAGTTACTAGAAATGTATTTAAAGCACAATATAGGGCTTATTTCCAACAACATTTGTAAGAATATCACCAATACATTCATTAAATAAGCTAAGCACTTCTTAGTACCAACACATAGCTACAACCTATTAACATTTCCAGTGCAGAAACAGGGTTTAAGTTGTTTGAGAAGAGTTTACAAAGCGAGTTTACTTCCGGCTGAGTCTGTGTAAACAATCGTGTGTGAACAGCTGGCACTCCCTCTTTATCCTCACAGAAGCTGAATACATTTCCTCATGCTTCACTCCTTCATTCGGCTCTCAAGGTAACCCAACTCTATCACACAGCAGTTCTGGTTGACTAGACTCTTGGAGTTGTTTGCTTATGAATGACCTGTTTCACTGTGAACACCACTGACAGTATTTTACAAGCTACAAAAGCGTAAATGTCCTCAGAGTAAAATGTCTTATCACAAGTTCAAGATTATTTATAAAAAAAAAAAAAAGTTTGAACAGTTGACCAACATTTTTCTGTCATCCTTCTCCCTGATTATGAAGTGCTTCCATCTTGTGGCCCAAAAAGTGCCTTACAAGAGCCATTCATTCAGCAGCTCTTCATTATGTTGACATGTTGGGTTAATTATTACACACCCTTAATGGGGACCTTTCATATCATAAACTGGGAATATTATTAATATGGAATATATTTACTGACGGCTTTTCATGACCAAATTTGAAAAACTAAAATGTGTTCTCAATTCCTATTTATCACAATAGTAAAAACGTGGGAGGCCTTTTCAAATGTTGTTTCAAGACAGCAAAATACCTACAGAAAATGGGACTCATTATTTTTGAAAGGTTGCCATAGAAATCTCATTAGAGGTAAAACACATCAGTAAAAGAAGTCACTTCTTTAGATAGAAAAAAGTTAATTCCAATTACTGAAAATTTCTTAATTCAAGTTTCAAAAAAGTACCGTAACAAGAACACTTTTTCACAGAGTCTGCTTAAAGTGGTTTCCATGGAGATGTGTTGTCAGCTCCTTGCTCTGGAGCTCCTTCTGGTCTCCTGTCGGTGTCACAGGTTCCAGTGTGGAGCCGCAGCGCCCCCTGTCTGTGCAACGCGCTCAGGGTCCTGAACTCCAGAGGCATGGTGTGAGGGCTGGAGCTGGACGTATACTCGTACTTCAGAGTATCGTAGTAGTGGTATTTCACCGGTTTACCCTGCGGGTCGTGTGAGAAGGGCCAGAAGCCGTACAGATGGATCTCATCACAGAAGCGAGTGGCCATTGTGTACATGAGGAGCCCAGTGGTCGGACGCTTGATGTGGACATGGTTGGTGAGCCAGTACCTGTACACAGAAACATAAAGTATGCGTTTAGCTGCATGTGATAACTCCTAGAAATAAAGCAAAAAGCAAAAATATGTCCAAGGTCTCCAGAGCTTCTTTTTCAGGTAGCACACTAAAGTCAGTATTCACTCTGAAGCAACACTTATCTCCTTCAGTCAGACCCTCCTCGCTCCGGGTATTGATATTAATCCAGATACGCAGTATGCCAGAGCATGCACTGTGGAGCTGAATCCTAAGAAGTCAGGCAAGTAGAAATGTAGAGCACGCCGGATATGTTTCTCTGCTGTAGACATCCGAGCTTCAAGGACTGGCTGCTCACAGATATCAATAAATAACCTTTTTTTTCCGTCTTGTATTTGCTGCACTGCAAAAAATATCCTTAACATCATTTAGTATTATGTTTCAGAAAGTTATTTAGAGAAAATGCTGAAACAGTTGGCTGATTAATTCATAGGCATTTTTTTATAGAAACTTAATTGGTTCAGCAATTTCACAAGAAAAAAAAAACTCCTATTCTCTGGTTCCTGCTTTTGAAATCTAAACATTTAAAAAAAAATGTTATACCACTTAGAGGTGATGTGCTTTGCAGTTGAAAATTAAACAATCTGAAGATACGTGTTTGGATTTAAGTATTTACATTTTTGAAGATTGACAACAGCAATTATTTATTGTAGCCCTATTCTTCTTTCCACAGTTAAAAAGGATAATTAAACACATTTCCTAGCTCAAAATCTTGAGTCTAGTGCAGCCATCTGCACCGGAAACAAAACAACTGTTCAGAAAAACAAACTACTGTAATGATGGAAATTACATTGTGAAAAAAGGGATATAACTAACCACATTTGCAGTGGTTTTACTTCTTAGAATAAAATAACAAATGTAATTACTTGTTCAGGTGGATATGTTTTGAAACATGTTAAACCAAGTGCACACACTAGTGGCATTATTCTACTTTATGTGACCTAGACCTCCTTTGACAGCGAGTTACCACATGCTGCCTTCAGGAGCAGCTTCAGGGGGAGGCGGTCAGACTCTCACTTGCCCCAACTTCATTTTCTGTTCAAGTCACTTGCCCATTGCTCCAGCCTCAAGGGCTTTTCTGCCCCCTCTGGCTGTGCACTCTGTTAGTGTGGAAGGTCGTGTTGAGATTCAGAGGTTGCACTATTTAAAGACATTCGTTTCCACAGGCCAGGTTTACAGTCTAACCAACATGTATGTGATCAGATTTTTAACAAGCAGAGGAGACATTCCAACTATCTGTCAAATGCTCTGATGTGGCATTTACGTGGAGTTAATACAAACAGATCTATTGTCCTTAACTGCACATGGTGGAGAACTAAAGTTTCTGAGAAGAGGAGGTAGGCGAGGGGTAGCAATTATCCGATCCCACCATTAAAAAGGAAAAAGGCAGTTTCATCTCAAACAAATCTTTCAGGCTAACCATCTTCTCTTGTAAAACACTAATTAAACAGACTGTTAATTACACAAATAATGTCCCAGTTCAACCCCTTACTGAGGGTTAGTTGAAGCATACAAAATGGCATAATTTGGTCACTGACCATCAGTGGCTGTTAGGCTTTTAACAAAGCTCCCGAACAGAGTGTGGTTGTGACGACAGAGAAGCAGAAAAGCATCAAAAATTGCAAAGAGGGAATTTATAACAGCCTGAAGGCAGTAGAGGCTGTATCTGAAAAGATATGCAAAAATATTACCCAAAAAAGATCCAGTTCTAAAATAAATCCACACAAATAATAGTCTGTTATATCACCGTTAAACAGCATTACTCATTATCTCTGCTTTTCAGCAACATTATCTAAAAAACACGATTTGGAGCAACATTTTGAACATCATTTAAGCTTACGGCAATTGATCTCTTCATAGAGCAGATTCATAAATGTTAGCAGCAAATCAATCAAAGATCATTGCATAAAAGCTGAGAATGAACCAGGGCACAGTGGTCAGACTCTGAGGGAACAAAGCCTCTATTTCAGTAAATGTGCTTATTTGCTTTCCTGCTGAGAGTTAAATGAGAGAATCGATACCATGATGAACAACAGTTTATCGGTCCACTCAGCAGTCTTATCTAGCTTCTCGGCTGTTTGCCTGGTAACCTCACCATGACGACAGCACTCCAGGAAGTCACGGCACCCTGCTGTTAATCAACAAGAAATGGTCAAAGCATGTATTTCCCTTGAAAAAGCACAACGTGTTTGTTCTAGGGAAGGAATATCAGTCAGTCTGTGGGTCGGTCAGTCAACACACTGAAAAATCTCGAAAAAAATGTAATTAAAGGAATTGTTAGGACATTTTCTATGGACATTAATGGTTCCCGGATGATGAACCCTACCGACTTTTGTGATCCTCTAACTCTAGGTCCACCATGAGGTTAACATTTTTTCTTGATAACATTCAGATTTTCAAGATTGTGAAACACACATATAAGAGACATAACAAAAAAAAAGAGGCAACATTTTCCCAATTTGGTAACATCACCGAACTCTCCATAGGAAAGCAAATAATTGAATTTTCCAAAATGTTAAACTATTAGTTTAGAAAGAGACATAGACCTAACTTCACGAGAGACTGGCATGTCTGCTTTAACTATGTCATTAGTTTTAAAAATGAGAACGCACTAAGACACATTTCACACTTGATCAAGACGAGACAAGATTATGTAGAACGCCTTCAGGTGCACACTGAGTGAAGACAGACTGAGTATCATCCTGCCCTTGAGATCTGCCTTAATGCTCCGTTTAAGTATAGCCGCCCGGTCCGGACTATAGATTAGTGTCATCCACCCCATCATTATGCTGCTCACAGGTGTTCTTTAAAGAAGCAGCACTCTTACCCTCTGACGGCGTGGAGAAGGCGCAGCGAGGGGAAGGCGGTGCGCACGTCCACAGTGTGAGACAGGATGAGACGAAGGGCCCACTCCACGCGCTCCTCCCCCCCCTTGGCCATGAAGGCTGGGATCCACAGCACACTGCCGCTGAGGCTCTGGAGACGCTGAAGGAAGCGGTCCCTCCACTCCTCGCTCACCAGGTCCTGGAAGGCCCGCTGCACCACTGAAGGGTTCATGGTCACCAGGTTAGTCCGCCGGCCCACATCCTGCGAGAACTCATCCACTGGAGCCAGGTTACACCTTAGGACAAGGAGAACACATGTCACTGGGTTTCAGTGTCAGCTAATGAGAACATTCCCTTCGTCTAGTTGCCCATGATCTAGTTTATTTTTCTTGAAGTTTTCTAGCAGACACATCTGCAAACATCAAGCCATGTTTCTTAATTAATTATAGGACTATAATAAGGATCCGACTCAGCACTCAACTAGCATACTGCTACTACTCATTAAAAGTTTTAAGATATAAGAAAGTTATTTGAAAAGGTAACACTAAAAATGATACCTTTAAATTGTATTAGTTTCAACACACATACTGAGACAGCTTGTGATGTGTAGTGGAATCATTTAATAATAAAATGAAAAAAGAATTCAACAGATGTTTGCTCATGGCTGGTATCACCTTAAAATATTTAAGACATGTACAGATGGGCAACATATTAAAAGGTCTCCTATCATGCTATTTTTAGGCATATATTATGGGTCTCAGATATATAAAAATATATAAAAACATGTCTATGATGTGTTTTGCTCAAAATACCAAACAGATCACACATTCTAGCCGTGCCTCATATCCCTCTATTCTAGCCCTGTTAGAGAAATGCTGATTTTGGGTCCTTAGCTTGAAAAAAAAAAAAGAGGAGGGGGGAGCTAATGCCTACTCGGAATTACCCGGCAGATACAGTTAAATTCTTCCGTGATTAAACGCCATCATGTTCCAAACCACATCAAGGATGTTCAAAAAGCTCAAATGCTTTTTCTCTTGCGGGTTTACCACAAGGTGAGTTCCTTTTTTTATTTCCTGCTTTTTTTACACATGTATTCTCTCCAGTACAGGTTAGCTCTGAGTGTTAGCGATGCTTGCTAATGTAAACAAAGACCATATGACGTCCAAAACACGACATGTAAGAGTAGAGAAACATTCATGTATATGGTTTGATAAATATGCATATGATGAGAATCATACATGTATATGATCTTCACAGTCACCTGATTGACAAGTGAGCTTAATAAAAAGAAAAGCAAGGACATGAATGATATGGACTACCAATACTGTTATAGGCCATTCATTTCATGAGCTGATTACAGTGACTTCAAGCTGTAAATCTGCAATGGTTGATTTACTTCAGACATCCATACACAAATCTTAATCTTTCAACAGCTCACATCTTACTAACACACTTTTTTTTATGCCATCGGTTTTTGTCTTCAAGCTGCCCATCATGTATTTCTACTAAGAGTAAAATAGCAGAAATAAAAGTGTGTTTGGCAGAAAAAGCAGCACAGCACTTTGTTTGTTGATGTTAACCTTGGCCTCAAAATAAATAACAGAAAAATAAAGCAGGTAATTACTTATATTCACTGGGAAGCATTTCTATTATCTGCAGTGTGGCAGGAAGACAAACCAGGAGCACTTGATTTAATGACTAAACATGTTTTAATTTACACACTTGTGGAAACTGTTTTGTGAGAACAATGCATCTCCAGAACACTCATAATCGGGTTGTTTTTTAAAAAGTTTGTTTAGTTTAAAAAGAAGTCGAGAACACTACATTATTTAGTTAAAGTAAATAAAGATTGCATGGATGTGCTTTTAAAGCTTTCTGTAAATATGCTATAACCGCTCATATCCAGACTTGGTTCAAAGATGCCAAGCAAATGGAAAACATGACAAGTATGAAACATCAGCTGACAAGCAGACAAATAGCTCTGTCGAAAATTATTCAATGGCATTATCAAAACGCTGAACTAATGTAACATATTACCCAAAATACTGTCAACCTACTTTGTGGATACCCAGCATAGGCAGAGAGCTATATTTAGATGAGGCCTTATCTTCCTATCTGATACACGAATGCCAGAGCAAATTCCTCAGCTTCTCAAAATGCCACATTTCCTGTTGTCTGCCTTTAGCCAAGCATTACCGCCATTCCCCAGTGTTATTGTCATGCTGCTCTGTTCTAGAAATCAGCATAACATTGCAGCACTTAGGGAAGACAAGATCTTGTGGCAACAGAATCAATTTAAGAATAAAAAAAAGGGGCATAAAAGGACTTTGAGCCCTATTCAATTATTGATCAGCTCCACAAGGTGCTACCACTGATAGATACTTCCTGCTCCATTTATGTAACATTAAAGTCATTGATTTATTAGAGGAAGTGACTCACAGTCTCCACATCTCCTGAATTCTTTTTTGGATTATTACTATCTGTAATCTGAAACCCAACCAGAATACTTGGTTTTTGCATCTTCCATTATAAAATAACCCCATGCTAATTAATTTACCTCCAACGACAAATTAATAATGATGAACAACCCACTTTGTGACTGCAGAGAGTGAACAATGTGTTTTCTGCTGGTTGAAAATGCTCTTCAAAATGTCGGTGTGATGTACAGTGGGGCAAAAAAGTATTTAGTCAGCCACCAATTGTGCAAGTTCTCCCACTTAGAAAGATGAGAGAGGCCTGTAATTTTCATCCTAGGTACACCTCAACTATGACAGACAAAATGAGAAAAAAAAAATCCAGAAAAATCACATTGTCTGATTTTTAAAGACTTTATTTGCAAATGATTGTGGAAAATAAGTATTTGGTCAATAACAAATGTTCATCTTAATACTTTGTCAATTCCCCTTTGTTGGCAATGACAGAGGTCAAACGTTTTCTGTAAGTCTTCACAAGATTTTCATACACTGTTGCTGGTATTTTGGCCCATTCCTCCATGCAGATCTCCTCTAGAGCAGGGGTTCCCAAAGTGGGGGTCGCGAGATGATTAAAAAAAAAAAAAATAAAAAAAAAAAAAAATTGATAATTTGTTTCTATAACTTTTTTTCTCATTACGATTAATAATAACGCTTGCATAGACATTTTTTTCTTTGCCAATCCACTAGCGCAGTGTTTTTCCAACTTTTTACTTTTTTTTCCTGAAATTAATTCACTAGCACCCCCCAGCACCCCCC